GAAGAAGAAAAGAGAAGTGTTGGCAAGGATGTGGAGAAACTGGAACCCTTGTGCCCTGCTGGTGGGAGTGTAGAATGGTGCAGCCTCTATAGAAAACAGGCTGGTGGTTCCTCAGACGTTAAAGATAAAATTACCATGTGATCCAGCAACTCCAATTCTGGGTAGATATATCCACTGAAAGCAAGACCGTGAAGAGATATGTGCACAGCTATGCTCATAGCAGCAGTATTCACAACAGCTAAGAGCGGGAAGCAGCCTTCATCCATCCATGAAGTGCAATATTATTCTGTCTTAAAAGGAAGAAAATTCTGATCCAGGTTACAGCATGAATGAACCTTAAAGATTACGCCAAGTGAAATAGCCAGTCACAGAAAGTCAAACACGGTGTGGTTATACTTGTACTAGAGGCCCAATGCCCAAAATTCGTGCGGGGGGTATGGAGGGAGGGGGTTCCTCAGCCCAGCCTACACCCTCTCACAATCTGGGACTCCTCGAGGGATGACCAACTGCCAGTTTAGGCCCGATCCCACAGCGGGATCGGGCCTAACCTGGCAGTCGGACATCCCTCTCATAATCCAGGACCGCTGGCTCCTAACTGCTCACCTGCCTGCCTGCCTGCCTGCCTGCCTGCCTGCCTCATCACTCCTAACCAGTCTCCCTGCCTGCCTGCCTCATCTCCCCTAACCACTCTGCCTGCCTGCCTGGTCACCCCTAGCTGCTCATCTGCCTGCCTCATCACCCCTAACTGCTTGCCTGCCTGCCTGCCTGGTCACTCCTAACTGCTCACCTACCTGCCTGCCTCATCGCCCCTAACCACTTGCCTGCCTGCCTCATCACCCCTAACCACTCTGCCTGCCTGCCTGATTGCCCCTAACCACTCGCCTGCCTGCCTGATTGCCCCTAACTGCTGACCTGTCTGCCTGCCTGATCACCCCGAACTGCTTGCTTGTCTGCCTGATCGCCCCTAACCACCTCTGCCTCACCCCCGCTGCCCGGCTTCATCCAGAAGGTCGTCCAGAATGACGTCTGGAAGGCTGTTCGACTGTCCGGTCTAATTAGCGTTTTATGCTTTTATTATTATAGATAGATGAGGTTCCTAGAGTATTCAACTTAACAGACACTGAGACTGAAAGTATAAGGTGGTTGCCAGGGGCTAGGGAAGGGGGAAGTGAGGAGTTGTGATTTAATGGATATAAGGTGTCAATCTGGGAAGATGAAGAAGTCTGGAGAAGATTGCACAACAACATGAATATATTTAGCACTACTGAACTGTACCCTTAGAAATGGCTAAGATGGCAAACTTTTGTGTGTGTTTAATATTTTTATTGATTTCAGAGATGAAGAGAGAGAGATAGAAACATCAATGATGAGAAAGAATCATCTATTAGCTGCCTCCTGCGCACCCCACACCAACGATTGAGCCCAAATCCAGCATGTGCCCTGACAGGGAATTGAACCATGACCTTCTGGTTCATAGGTTGATGCTCAACCACTGAGCAACACTGGCCAGGTGATGGTATACTTTGTTATGTGCTTTTGACCACAATTAAAAATATATTTTTAGAAGAAATCCCTTGCTCCTGTGGTGCATACGTTCCTGCTCTCTGAAATGCCCACTGGTTGGGGTCCCGCTGTTTTTCCCTCCTGGGCTCACCCTCTTTCCATTGTGAGGGGTCCGGGTAGAGGTCAAGTAGCCTCAGGGCTCAGTCCCCTGACCAGCACACTCAAGCCTACCACCCTGGCATTTCTATGCACACCTGAAGCTGGGAAGGTCAGGACAGCTCCTCTCCTGACTGCCTGTCTCTTGCCTCGCTCTCACTGCCGCCCCCTGAAGGAAGGTCCATGAGAGCACAACCAGGTTTCACCCCAGGGAAATCAGAGGCTCTGTCCGCTTTCACCTCCCCGAGACCCTCTTGGAGAAAGGAGTTTGTTGGCTTGTCACAGATCACCTGAGCTAACCCTGCGACTGGCTTTTACCTTCGACATACTGGGAGGTGGTGTGTGTGTGTGTGTGTGTGTGTGTGTGTGTGTGTGTATAGAGTGTATGCATGGAGTGGGGGTAGGAAGTTGGAAGTGGCCCCACTAGATTTAGCCAGCTGCCTGGGGGCCACCACACAACCAGACCTCTCCACCAACGTCCTCTCTGTCCAGATGTTGTCATCAGCCAACCCCATCAGGCGGGGCCGGCCTGGGGTCTGGCTCTCGCCTGTCAGTCCTGACATCTTCAGTAGATAATGGAACGCAAAGATGTGAGAGGCAGAGCAGGTGCATGCTAATGAGGAGATCAATTTTAATTATGATTTTAATTAAACACCCGATCCAGTAGGAAATATGACAGTGACTGGCTAGGGCTGTGCAACCTGAAAGGAGGGAGGGGCACCTGGGAGGGACGGAGCCTCCGGGATTTAAAAGAAGTAAAGGGCAGCACTGTTGGGAAATTGAGAAAAACCTGTGCCACCTGAAATTTGCACACAGTAAGCCTTTTCTTTAAAGAGCCCTCAGCCATCTGGACTCCGGAAGGAGAGGCACTTAGCTACAACATGGATGGGCCCTACCCCTCCATTCCCATGGGAAACTTGAGGCCAAAGGGGAACATGACCTGTCTCTCCTGTGTCCCATAACACACTGTCTCTGCCTCTAATAGGCAACGTATCACACTATATCATTAACTCTTCACAGCTTCCCTATTTGTTTATAGCAAGTGTTTACAGAGCCAGAGTTGTTTGGGCAAAGCAAGCCCTTCAAGTTCAAGGCTGCCTCTGCAGAGCTCTATGTGCAGCTAGCGAGGAGACACTGAGACGATTGCTTGTGCTCACAGTAGGGATGTCTCTCTGCTACAAAGGAATCATACCTGCTAAGGGTCCTCCCCAAGTTTACACTCTGCTCCTGCCCTGAACAACACCTGGCACACAGCAGGCCGTCAGGAAATGTGGGTACCATAAACAATCACGCAGAGCCCATGAACTCTAATGAGGAGTCAGGAGCAACACCAGCTGGTCAGTTGTTCTTAGGCCTGGCTATCAGATTTCTGGACACTGCCCCGATGGAAGAAAGCAATGTTCCTATGCTATGTGTGCGTCCCTGTACTGCTATGTATGTTGTGTGCCGTATATGTGGTAGCAGACGATGGCAGTTGGTGGGAGGAGGAAACTCAAGGGGGCAAAGGAACTAATCTTGCAGGGCTCTTCATAACAGAAAATCACAGAATAATGCAATGGCAGCATTGCAAGAGAGTATTGATGAGCATTGTCCAATAGAACTTCTGCAGTGATGGAGATGTTTGATGTCTACCTTGATACCGTAGCCACTAGCCACATGTGGCTATTGAGCACTTGAAATGTAGCTAATGTGACTGAGGAGCTAAGGTTTTAATTTAATTTAATTTTGATTGATTTAAATTCACAGGTCACTAGTGGCTACATACTGAACAGTAGAGGTGAGGTCATCTAATCAAATTCTCTATTTGTTCAGAGGAGGAAGCTGAGGTTCAGGGAAGTAGCCCTTGGACATCACCCGAGCTCAATCACTGGGCCTTCACAGGTGGCACATTAAGACTCAGTCCTGTGATGGCTTTCTTGTGCATCGACAGCATGTTTGTGGAGGGGTTCCACTTCCAGGAACGGAGTCCCTCTATAAGGCCCAAGGACAAAGGCCAAGCAGATTCTCCCCAGGTCCCAGATAAGCTTGGACTAGGAAGACCTAGAGCCCAGGGCAAGACCTTAAGTAATAACCCAGCGACTGCTTCTGCCTTGTCTCCGCCACTGCCACCCACGCCCCAGCAGACAGGGCCATCTGGTTCTTCCCACCTGGGTAACGTGAGGTCTTTCCAGCCTATTCACCTACAGCTAAAGCCTTGTCATGGCCTGAACGGAAATCTGAGATTGGAGATGGTGACAGGAGTTAATTGGGATTAGATGCGCATGTTCCATGGTTAAGAAAAGCACAGATGCTCCAGAGCCAGTTCTCAAGCCAGATCATTTTCTAAATACTCTCTCCTCCTCCCTCTCGGCCTCCTCCCTACCCACCCCCAGCATCCACCCCTCCTAGGTGCTACAGAGGGGTGTTGATTGGGCTGTTTCTCCTGGCCTGTGTGACTCAATAGCAGTTAAAACCTTTTCCATAATGAATGAGGTCGTTTGTAGGAGGAACGACGGAAACAGGGACTCCCAGTGTCATGTCCACATGCCCAGCTCCCCTCCCTGCCTTCCCCTCAGACCTCCTCTGCTGTCTGCTTCATCTTCAGGCGGCCAATGGAAGAGGTGAAGTCATGGTACCTACCGATCACCCTTCTAGGCAGAACACAAAGAATGCTCCTTGTCAAAACACATCTCAGGCCTCCACATTGACAGGAACTGAAAGTCAGGGTAAATCTGGGCTGTGAATCCCCGGAGAACTCGCCCAGCCTACCCTCAGGCCCCTCGCTGTCGGGGCCACTGAATTTCAAGCTTCTCAGATGCTGGCGCCAGTTCACCAGGAGCACCTTCTTAGAAAAGGTGAGTTCAGAGTCACCTGTTTCTGTCGAGTAAATGAGGGCTCAAGAAGCTGGAAACATCAGCAATTTCCACCTGTGATTCAAAAAGCACTTTCCTCCCCATCCCGGCAGGTTCAGTATCAGCCGCACCTCAAGGCACCAAGGCACGGTCACGCTGTCCCTAAACCTGGCTCCGATTTGAGCACTCAGGACAGAGGCGGCCTCGCTGTGGACACGACAGTCTGCCTGGCAAGGGGGAGAGCCTGCCTGTTGGAGCCCTGTTAACCGAAACAGACACAAATGTAAGAGACAGCCTGCTGACCTGCTGGGGCGCAGGGGAGCGAGGAGCATGCAAGGCAAGAAGGCGCCCGCATGGGAGGCAGGCTATGAAGCCATCAGCCGTCAGCGAGGGAATGGGTCAGGGACAGACAGGGCGGGCCCTGCTCCCTCTAAGTGGGGCCTCTGTTAGAGAAAGAAATTCTCTCTTCCAAAGAACTGACTGAGTGGTTTGGCAGCTCCGAACCAGAACTCCTTGCAGTGGGCCGCCCAGGGCCACTCTGGTTGGAGCCCACACCTTGTGCCTTCTTCAGTTCATTTCAACAAAGTCACTGAGCACCTACTCTGGGCTTTCTTCTCTCTCCTGCCACTGGGGACCTGTCTCTGGTTAGAACAATGCCTATTTCTCTTTAATAGGATTTCACTGCTGGAGAACAATGGCTCTGGCTAGTGAAGGAGGGGGAGGGGCAATGGCAGGAGCAAAAGAAAGGCGTGATGGGCACCGGGCCTCTTCATTGATATTCAGGCTCTTGCTTGGCTTGGTTTTGTCCTCAGCACTAGCCTGTCTCCTAGAGTGCTGCTTGCATTGGGTGACCTTGAGGGTCCCTGAAGGTGAGGGCTTAGCTGTGGAAAAGCTGACAGCTCCCTCAGCTCCCTGGCATCTACTTAATCAACTGGATATGGCTCCAGGCCCCACACAAGCTCCAGGTGGCCATGCTGCTACATACCTCCAGGGCACTGCATTCAAAGCCAAACAAACCCAAAACGTTGTTATTTTAAACCGCATACCCACACCGTGCTCTTAGGAGCATCTAGGATGGGCGACCAGCAGAGAAGCAAGATTTCAGCCTGACAGCTAGGGGACCACATCTCGCCCTGATTCTGTACAAACATGCTTCTTCTACTGCCGCGGACTGCTGCCCATTATCATTCTTTGCTAGCAATTAGCAAGCCCTGACCAGTACAAGCACTTTATTAACACCAATAACATCTCCCTTCACCCCAAGTCACCATGAATGCTGTGGGCAAGAATTCTCTAGGGGGAGAGAGGAGTGGATAGAGTTGCTTCTCTCTCAAATTGAAGATGTTGCAACCTAGGCTTAGAGCTTAAGGAAAATGCTGCCAGTTAGAGAACCAATCCAGGTGGAGCCTTCCTCATACCTACTGACCTGAGCAAATCCATCAACTAGCATTTAGTGGGCAGCTGTTATGAATGAGGCATCATGTCAGACTCAGGGGTGTACAAGACAAGATCCCTGTCCTCACTTGAAGAAATTGATGCTGTTTGAGGAAATATATCCACGGCTACTTAGGTACAAACTACACAACTCCAAGGAGTTCATTCACGTGGAGCACAGCACAGAGGCCGTGGGGATGATGCCCAAGATGTGCTATGAATCGCAGGAGGTGGTACATGCCAAGTGCTGTAAGCAGTGGGGCACTGTGGGACGAAGGGGTGGAGAGACCTCTCCACAGTCCTGGCACTTGAATTTAACTGAAAAGGATGATGGGTTTAGTTGCAAGAAGATGGGTGCAGAAGACGTTAAAATCAAAACCTCGACCCACACCCACCTCTAACTACCACTCTATCTCTATATTGACTCCCTTTCCAACCAGACTGCCCCAAAGGCTCATGTACAGATGCTTTCTCCAATTTCTTACTTCAACCCACTCCCAGCCCCTCCCTGATGTCCCAATTATGCCCCAATTAATTAATTATCTGCCTAGATTTAGTGGGACATACGCAGGTGACCAGGGGTCAGCAATAACGGCCTATCCCCTGGTACTTCAGTGTACTCTAGACAGTTGAGCTGAACCAGAACACATGAACATACAAGACAGAATTAGTATGCAATCACACAAGGTTTATGTACCTATTCCTAGTGGGTCCTAGGCTCCGGCAAAGGCCACCTGGCGATGCACACCGAAAGACGGACGACAAAGACAGAGACAGACAGGCGACCGCAGTTGGTTCAGGCTTGCACGGCAGAGCAGTCAGCCAGGGGCTCATCTCACCGAGCGACGTGGAGTCCTTCTCTTATGACCATGACATTATAACACCTGCCCATACCCCACCCCCACATACCACTGAACTGCTCCGCTCAGACCTCTGGTGACTTCAGTTTGCACGGTTTCCTGCACACTCTCTGGAGTCTCCCCTCCTCCTGCTCCTCAGTGGTCTGACCAGTTCACCCCTCTCCCCTTCTGGAGGCACTTTCCTTCCCGTCCCTGTACCGTCACCATTTCCTTGTCCTCCTAATGCTCTTACTGTGCTTTGTGGCAGCCTCCTCTTTCTTGAGCAAACATCGTTGACTCCTTATCATTTGTACAATTCTAAGTACTTTATATTTTAGCTGCTTTAATCCTCACAGCAATCCTATGATATAGATGGTCTTGTCCCCATTTCCAAGATGAGAAAATGAAGACACGTAGAGAAGTTTTTCTAGGAAAGCTTAGCTAGAAATGGCAAAAGACAAGATTTGAACAGATAGTTTGGGTCCTGAGCTATGTGGTTAATCACTATGTTATACTGTCTCTTTACCTGACTATATTAATAAGGATAGTACAGAATAGGCTTTGGTAATAAACAACTTCAAGATCCTAGTAGCTGAATATAATAAGAGTTGATTCCATCTCATGCTGAATTTCCAAGACACTGCTGCAGGAATCTGCTCCACACAGTCACTCAGAGACCCAGACAATAAAGACCCCAACTTGTAGCTGCAGGAAGGAAAGAGAAAGATTGAAAAATCGCATATGGGCTTTTCCTAGCATTTCCACTCATATTTCTTTGACTAGAACTTGTCACATGACACCACTTAACTAGAACTAGTCCCATAACCCCACCTAACTGCAAGATGGAAAATATTGGGGAGAAGTAAAACATTTGCTGAGATAACAGTATATGCGATTGTAAACTAAATGCTGGAGTTTCTCCAGCCTGTGTTAGGCTATCATCTTTTTCACTCTTCATTCATTCATCCCTGTACCTATATACTGAGACTTTCCAAGTTTAATCGTCAGCCCAGATCTCAGCCTCATTTCTGAGCTCCAATCTTGTCTATTTAACTGCTTACTTGACGTCTTTAAAAGGGTATCTCAAAAGCTTCTTAAATTTAACATATTCAAAACAAAACCCTTGGAGTTCTCCCTCATCACAATTTCTCTTCTCAGTTTTAAGGAAACTATCTCATTTCACTAAATGACACCTTTTTCCATTTAGTCATTTCTGCCAGGAATCTGGAAATTCTTTCCACCCCCTCCTCTACTTCCCATATTTGAACTTTCACCAAGTTTGAATCTACCTTCAAAATAATGTTAAATATACTCCGTTTTACCAACTCTGTCACTCTCGTCTAAGCCACGATCATCTCCTGCCTAGACTACTGTCACAGCCTTCTCCCTTTCTCCCGTTTCCTCTCTTCTCTCCTTCTAGAACGTTCTCCACACTACAGCCAGTGTGTTCTTTACAAAGTGCAAATCAGATCATGCCACTCAGTTGCTTAAATTGCTCAGAGTTGTGTCCAAGGACCTCAAAGGGGCCAACGACACTCCCTGCAATCTAACCCCTATCTGCCTTTCCAGCAACATCCTGTGCTGCTTTTCCCTTCATGCACCACTTCCCCATCTCCCTGGCCTTCTCTGGGTTCCTTGAATGAGCCATGCTCTTACCAGACACAGGCCTTTCAACAATCTGCTCCTGTTCCTTAGAAGGCTCTTTTCACACTCTTTACCCAACAAAATCCTTTTCATGCATGGGTATTAGCCTAAATACCACCTCCCAAGAGACCTCCCATGAAATCCAATGCAAACAAGGCCCTTCTGGTATATATCCCATCGTACGCTTCTCCCTTGCTTTATAGCATGAGCTACAATTTGAAATTACATCTTAATCTTGGTTGGGTTTTTGGTTTTTTGTTTGTTTGTTTAACATCTGACTCCCATTGAAGTTCCATGCTCCATGACAGTTAAGGGGAATGGGAGTACATGTTTATTCACCATTGTATCATCTGCACAGAGTATCTGGCCTATAATATGTCAACCAGTCAATAATTGTTAAATAAATAATCAATGAAAAATAAACCCACTAACCTCTTGCCCTGAAATATACCTTCAAAGATAAGCAGACTCAGCCTGTAACAGAACTGGCTTACCATCTCCCACCCCCTCACTTCCTGTTGATGTGGTAATGGTGATCTGTTACTGAGTTCTCCAAAATAATGCAGGTCTTGATGGCCTAGGGTGGTCTCGCTGAGTCTGGCTCCTAAGGGGATTTGGTTAGCATCTCCTAAGGTTAAATCACTGTGGGTCACAGATAAATTCAGCAAGGTTGATTTTAAAGAAGTGATTGATTAATTAATAACTGAACTCATTAGTCCAGTGCAATGCCTTTCTCAGTCTGACTCATTCTATTTTTCAACTGTGTTGCTACTACAAATGTAGCAACTGGTTGTGCTCAAAACAACACAAACTTATTACCTTACTGGAGGCACAGTGCATGAAAATTGTGCACTTGGGGAGGGGGCATCCCTCAGCCAAACCTGCACTCTCTCAAAGTCCGGGAGCTCTCAGGGGATGTCCGACTGATGGCTTAAGCCCGCTCCCCACGGGGAGCAGGCCTAAGCCACAGTCTGGCCTCCCTCTGTGGGAGCTGACCAGAGGACCGATCAGGGGGCAGCGCTGGCCCGCAAGCAGCTGGCCCCAGTGGTAATGGTGATCTGTTACTGAGTTCTCCAAAATAATGCAGGTCTTGATGGCCTAGGGTGGTCTCGCTGAGTCTGGCTCCTAAGGGGATTTGGTTAGCATCTCCTAAGGTTAAATCACTGTGGGTCACAGATAAATTCAGCAAGGTTGATTTTAAAGAAGTGATTGATTAATTAATAACTGAACTCATTAGTCCAGTGCAATCCCTTTCTCAGTCTGACTCATTCTGTTTTTCAACTGTGTTGCTACTACAAATGTAGCAACTGGTTGTGCTCAAAACAACACAAACTTATTACTTACTGGAGGCACAGTGCATGAAAATCGTGCACTTGGGGAGGGGGCATCCCTCAGCCAAACCTGCACTCTCTCGAAGGGGGCATCCCTCAGCCAAACCTGCACTCTCTCAAAGTCCGGGAGCTCTCAGGGGATGTCCGACTGATGGCTTAAGCCCGCTCCCCACGGGGAGCAGGCCTAAGCCACAGTCTAGCCTCCCTCTGTGGGAGCCGACCAGAGGACCGATCAGGGGGCAGCGCTGGCCCGCTTTGCATATTATGCTTTTATTATATAGGATAGTTCTGGAGTTCAGAAGTCCAAAGTCGGTCTCACTGGGCTTAAATCAAGGTGTTGGTGGAGCTGCATTCCTTTCTGGAAGCTTTAGTAGAGAATCTATTTCCTTTCCTTTTCCAGCCCAGAGATGCTCTTTCCGTCCTTCCTCCATCTTCAAAGCCAGTGACTCAAGGTGGAGCCTTCACATGGCCTTCTCTTAGTTCCCTCTCTTCTGCCTCCCTTTCCCACTTACAAGGACCCTTATGGTTTCATTGAGCCCATCTGGACAAACCAGGTTAATCTCCCATCTCAAGGTCAACTGATTAGCAATCTTAATTACATCTGCAACCCCTTTGCCATGTAACCTAGCATATAACCTAGCAGGAGAACTGTTATTCTGCCTACCACCAACCTCACTTCCTTCCACTTCACACCCAAACTACATTTTAACTACAAAGAACTTAAGTCTTAGAACTATTGTTCTGAAAAGCCAGGGTGATAGGAATAACCATCTATAGGAAACCACACAAGTCACCTCTAAAAGTTTTCCCAGCATGCACTGTCTCTTGTACCTCTTTATACCACAGATCACCATCTCAGACTCCCAATTTTCTAACTGGACAATGGGGATAAAGGGCCCTGCCTCACCGGGCTGTTGTGAGAATTAAATGTACATGCAGCGTACATTTGTGCGTTGCCTGGGAAGTCAGGACAGGGGATGAAGAGGAGCTTGTGGTCTGTCCTCCAAAGTCTGGATTCAAATCTGGATTCCAACATTTAAGGCGTGAATGGCCCATCAGAGTATTTAATCTCTAGCAATTCCCTCGACATCTTCATTTCCTCAACCGTGAAAAGGGGGTGGGGTGTATCAATAACAGCTATCTTACAGGGTTGCTGTGAGGATCAAATGAGATAAGTGATGTACAGTGTTATGGTACATAGTAAGTGCTCCATAAGATTAGGTATTATGACTATTATTCTAGAATTCCTAATAAATTGTAGCTGTTCTTTGTTGTTATGGTGTTTTATTTCATTCCTGTATCTGACAAACTCTTCAATCTCAGCGTAAGTATTACAGCTTTGGGAAAGCTTTCTCTTCTCTGCCAGTCAAAGGTAGTTAGTTTAGTTCTTTCCCCCATGCATTCCTATAACACACAGCCTACACTTCCATTACGGCATCAATAGAGTGGATTGATGTAGTGTATAACCCGCCCCCCGTCCCCCTCCCCCCACACACACACACATATACCACCACCACCACCACCACCACCACCACACACGGCTTGGATGCTGCTTACGAGTAGGTCCCATGTCCTGCTCATCTAAGTCTCCACCACGGCCTACTGCAGGGTCTAGGCAATATAATGGTTATGTCATTCTGTTGAATGAACAGACATAGAATTCTAAGTTACTACTTAGAAATTGCCCTAATATAGGATATTTGTTAATTTATTTGTCTAAACATAACTAATGTCATTTTATTCTCAGCATTTTGGTTGGTGAAGTGTACATCCTTTGTTCCCTAAAAGCAGCATTCCTTGGGGTTCAAGCAAAACTGGACCCCAGCGGAGCTGCAGCCAGAAGGTAGACTCCCCAAGTCCAGCCCCACGCTCAGCATATTCCTGCGTGAGCGTGAGCCTCAGGCCACGCCCTCTGCAGCTGAGGGGCTTTCGTTCACAGCTTCTGTGACCAGGCCCTGCACAAAGACTCAGCCCCAAGCAGAACAGGGCTGAAAATC